ACCTGAGCTGAAGGCAGATGCTTAACGACTGAGCCACCCAGGCATTCCTATTTGCATAAACTTTTTATTTTTTATTTTTTATTTTTTTTATTTTTATTGCATAAACTTTTAATGATATTCTCCTACCTAAATCCATTCAATCTCAGCAGCATCTGAAGTTTTGTCCAATTTCTCATTCCCACTATAGATTTTTGTTTTTTAATTTTTTTTTAAATCTATTTGAGAGAGAGAGTGTGGGCAAGAGAGAGCACAAGCCAGGGGAGAAGCAGAGGGAGAGGGAGAAGCAGCCTCCCCACTGAGCAAGGAGCCTCATGCAGGACTCAATCCCAGGACTCTGGGATCATGACCTGAACAGGTGTTCAACCAACTGAGCCACCCAGGCACTCTATTGTTTTTTATCAGTTTTTTTTCAACGAATCATCCTTTGGCCTTGTTGAGCCTTTCTATTATATGCTTATTTTCAAATTAATTAATTTTATTTATTTTGCTTTCTTTTTGTTTTCTTCTACTTTGAGTTTATTCTTTTGGTCTAATACTTCATTGTCTGTTTGACACCTTAATTTTTAAGCTGTCCTTTACCAATGTAAATATTGAGAGCTTTTTTTCCCCTCCTCAGTATATACTGGTTTAGGCTGTATTCTAGAACTTTTGATGTATAGTATTTTATTACTATTCTGAATATTTTCTAATTATTAATTTCTTCTTTAAAATAATTTTGGATATCAGAGCTTATGGTTTTTCTTGGTAACTTTTCTGTTATTGATTTCTAATTGCACTCTATTCATATAATTTGGTTTTTATGTTCCCAGTACTTTGAAATTTGTTGGAGGTAGTTTTATGTCTTGGCATGTTGTCAAAATTTGTAGAAGTTCTGTGTTTTATAATGATATTCTCCAACTCATAAGTGGAGCATTACATGCCTGGTGCTTTTTTTTTTTTTTTTTGTCCTGCTTGAGCTTTCAGTTACTGAGAGAGTTAATAGTAGAATCTGTGAAGGTAAGTTTGTTTCTTTTATGTCTGTCAGTTTGGCTTTACATATTTTGAGGTTATGTTATTCTAACATGTATATTTTAGAATATGTATGTATATCTATGTATAATCTATACATGTTTAGAATCATTTTTATGTCCTGGTTAGTTTTTTTCTTTTTTTTTTTTTTTTTTTTTAGCTCTATGTATGATTCCTTTTACTCTTTATTCTACTAATGCCTTTCCCCCTAATATCTCTTTTGCCTATTATTAATATGTCTAACTTAGTTATTTGGTGGGAGGGGAAGGGTTAATACTAGCCTCTACTTTTTCTGAAATTTTATATGAATTTGGGGAACAACCTACTGAAACAAGAAAATCTCACAGAATTTTATGGATGACAAGCACATCTAAATACTATGTATTTAGAAGAATGATTGTAAAAACTGCAAACTTCCAGCCATATTGGTAAGGAAAAACAATGAAAAAAGACCCAAATACACAGTATTAGCATTTAAAAAGGGATCAAACCTATCTATATTGTAGAGTTTTAAAAGAAAAGAATATTTCACTTTAATGCAAAATATAAATTTGTAAAAAAAAATAGAATTAACAAAGTTATCACAGAAAGAAATAGAAAATATGAAAATGACAGTTATATGAAAGAAGTCAATTATTAAAAGTCCACTGAAAAGATATCTTCATTAGCATGTTTTATCAGACCTTACAGTCAGCATCTCTGCTTTCATTTTCTAAAAGTTTTGTAGTTTTGTTTATCACTTTGAGGTCTTTAAACAACCTGGATTTTATTTAGAGAATGAAAGAGAGAAAGCTACTAAACATACTGAATGAGGTTGATTTATCATTGGTCCCAAACCAGATGAAGACAGTATAGAAAAAAGATAATTGTAGACAGTGTTGTTTATGAATTCAGATGTTAAATTTTAAAATAAATCAAATCAAAGCAATGTCATCTGTGTATTAAATACATTACAACCAAGTATGGTTTATACCAAGGTATATAAAGATGGTTCAGCTTTTAAAATCTTTTTCAGTAATATACCAAATTAAAAGAATGAAATAGAAAACCAAATTCTCTTCACAGAGGTTGTAATTAACAGTAATATCAGCTGTGTATGAGAATATCTGTTATTTATACTTCACACACCTACAAACACTGGTGGTTTCACTTTTTTTTTTTTGGCCTGTTTGATTAGTAAGTAATAGAATATTTCTAGTATGTTTATTTGCATTTCTCTGATTCCTTTTGAGTGCCATTTTCTGTTTATTAGCCATCTGTATTCACACTGAACTTTTTAAATGGAAGAGGAACACTTATTGCATAATTCGTTTACTTGAGTACAGGGACTATTTATCTTTTGTATCTCTAGCATCTTATAAAATGGCTGGCATACAGTGGGTATTAGAAGATACTTTTTGAGTGTTTGAGTAAGTGATTAGTAAAACTATGAGCCTCCTGAAGAAATTTGTGATTTAACTCATTTTTGAATGCCTAAAATAGAATAGTTTTGCAATGTCAAAGAAATGGGATTTTTACTAGCAGTCCAGGAAGTAAAGAATAGATAGGATTATTTTTTAAATTTCTGTTAATGGTCAGGGCTCCCATAAAGCTTGAAAAACTCACAAAATCTTTAGCCCTAATTACATACGACTTTATAGTACTCATTGTGGTGCTTTCAGGGTATATGCTACTGTGTGGAAAAATGATGTTTTTTGCATACTATCATCCTTTGTACCTTTTCTGAAAGATCATTTTAACAAGCGTTTGCTTCCCTGAATTGTATTTCATTTACTCTAGTTTTAAAAAATAGTCTCTTTGAATCATTGAACACTAAATCAAAAACTAATGATGTACAATATGTTGGCTAATTGAATTTAAATTAAAAAAGTTTCTTTTCCTGTTTTGCAGTAGTGTTTCTGAGGTTTGAAAAAGCTATTTTTGACCTTTTAGATAAGTAGGATGTTACTCAAAAGAAGGTATACATGGAATTATCCTAGATTACAAATAACTGTAGTTGTCTGTGATGAAATGCTGTTGTTGGATTTAGGGTCGGTAATGAGAAAAAGATATAGAGCATATACTTTATTTGGGTTCAGGTTATTTGAAAGTCTTGAGGTAGGAGGAATATAAAGTGAAATAGAAGATGTATTTAAAGAACTGCTAAATGTTATGTTGTAGGCTGCTGTGTGGTGTTTTTTAGCTATAGCTGGCAACTAGACCTGCTCTAGACTCATACTGGCTGGCTCTACATCTTCATTTTTAATTTATATATTCTATACCAACCCATCTTAACCATGTATTTCTGAAATGCTGATACAGAAGCTGGGAAAGGGAGGGACACTAGTCTAAGATTACTGCTAGATATATAGCAGTACTCATTCTGCTAGATAGATTACTTACTCTTCCTTGTGGTACCCTTATATCCCACCTACATCTTTGCAAATAGTTTATTTGTCAATAAACTGTCTTCCAATTATGATGATGTATTTCCTTTTGGAACCCTGTATACCATAGTCTCAACAAGTTTTCCAGTCTGGGTTGTTCAAAAACCAATGTGCCTTAGTCATCTTATCAAAGTGTTCACTTCATTGTGCCATTGTTTTCTGTGTTCTCTTTCTCCTAGGATGAGATCCTCCATACCTTCATTTAAATATGATATTCCTTTGATCATATTCTCCTTTTGTGAATTCCAAATAGCCAATCTTTGTATCCTTTCCTTATTTTCTAAAACACCATCACAGAAATCTCTACTAGACTGAGATATGCAATTTGGAATACCCTTCTTTTCTAAATTAGCTAGTTGGGCTAAATACCTTCAGAACAAATCAAGTTGTAAGGACTGGCTTGCCTAGTTCATTCTCCTAATCTCAAATAAATATTACTCTTGCTCCATGGAAGGAAGGGGAAGAGAGCTGTGTCTGTATATAATGACCCTTTAGTCATATTGCTCCTTTTTGCGTGAGCAAAGGGACATGAAAAGGGACATGAAGGGAGGAAAGGAAGATAGGTCTACATTTCTCTTAGAGGCAGCAGAACATACATTGATTTTATGATTTAAAAAAATGTCAGTTTATCCCCTGTTATTAATACCTTGTATGGTATTCAAGGCCATTTACATTTTTCACTTTCTAGGTCCCATTTCTTTGTATTTCTTCTCAAAATTGTATAACAACAATGGAGTATTGACTGTTATCACCTCAACCGTCATTTTCTTGCCTCTCTTCATTTGCTTATATTGCTCCCTGTGCCTGGAATGTCTACACTGCAAACCCAGGCAAAGTAGCAAAATTCTCCTTAGTCCTCAAGGTCCAGTTCCTGTGTTACTTTGTCTGTGAAGTATTAGTGTTCCATTCTCACCTATCTTGAAGCACTTTATATTTACCTCTATTAGAAGTTTCATCCCATTGTTACATTTTGTTTGTGTGTTTATGTCTGTCTGCCCTGAAGACTGAGAACTTTTTGAAGGAAGGTATCGTATTTTACTCGTAATTGTTCAGACTTCAGTGATTGCCACCGTGCTTTATATAGTGTAGAGTCTTGCTAAAGGAGTGTTAAAAGGGTAAATAAATGAATGAGTGTGAAAGAAATCTGAATTTACTTGGTGGGAATTGCTGAAACTCCCTCTTCCATAAAATTTGCTTTTACTTCTCAGACATTTGTGTTAAAATATATGTCTAGCATTGAGTGTTAGAATATACACAGTGTTCAACACGAAAAGGAATTGGACTCATTTGTACATTCCTGTTACTTTGCCTTATTTCATATGTTATTAGGTGTTTAAAAATATGTTTCTCACCAAAAACATAATTCACATGCGAGAAATAAAGGAAATTATTTTCTTATGGAAATTAAATGTATTTATTCTTAATATAATTTGATGGGATTATGAAATAGTTTGACTTCATGCTTAATCATAATTTGCATTTTTATTGTTTAAGAACCCTTATGTATATATCTAATTTGCATCACAATTCATTAAGAAACTAATTGATGTTGTTCTTTTATTTCAGCCAAACCATTTACTTCTAAAGTAAAACAGATGCGCCTACATAGAGAAGACTTTGAGATATTGAAGGTGATAGGTCGAGGAGCTTTTGGAGAGGTAAGAGACAAAGTTTTTATAAAAGTTCTGCTAATTGTTTTGGAAGTAATTTTATACAGTTTGTGAGAGAATTTAACTGAAACATGATTTCCTTGCTGTCATAATTGATGTGATCAATCAGAAAATATATATTAGTGTTTTGAATGAAATATTTCTACATGGAATTTTTTTCCAAGATGTTTTTCTTCGTCTGTCAGTGTAAGTTTGAGTATGCTTCTGGACTCTTCTGTTCCATGGGTTTATGTGTCTCTCCTTGTGCCAGTACCACACAGTCTTACATACTCTAGATTTAAGAAGTCTCAGTCTCTGGTAGTGTATGTTCTTTAGCTTCCTCCCTCTCCTCCTCTGTTCTTGGCCCTTGATATTTTCATGTAATTTTACAATGAGTGTTTCAGTTTCCAGAATTACTCTTAAAAATCCACACCCATATATCTGCTTGAATTTTGATTAGGATTGCACTGAAACTGGAGATCAGTTTGTAGATAATTGATTCCTTAATAGTATTGAGTCAGCCAGTTGATGAAGGAATATGATATTCTTTGTTATTTTAATTAAAATTGTTAAATTTCATTTTCTAGTTGTTTTTTTGCTAGTGGTGAGAAATATAATGGAATTTTGTTTGACTTCATATCTAGCAACCTAGCAGATTTTACTTTTTCAATTATGAATTGTGTTGGATTTTAAGAAAATGTTTTATCAACATCTTTTGAGACACTTAAGTCTTTTCTCCTTTACTCTGTTAATGTGTTGAATTACAACGATTTATTTTCAAATGTTCAACTAACATTGCATTTCTAAGATAAGCCCAACTTTGTATTATCCTTTTTATGTTTCATTGCACTTGGCTTGCTGTGTGTGTGTGTGTGTGTGTGTGTGTGTGTGTGTGTGTTCAGATTCTTGGAGAGAAACTGGCCTGTAATTTTCCTACTGAAAATCCTGATCACATTCTGGTATTTTGGTTATGCTGGCCTCTTTTACTCTTCTCTGGAAGAGTTTGGGAAGATTGTTATTATTTCTTCCTTATATGCTTAGAAAATTTCACTTGTGAAACCACTGGGCTTGGAAGTTGCCAGTGAGACAGTTTTAATTTCTTTAGTGGAAAATCAGACTGTTTGGATTTTCTTTCTATGTGTCAGTTTTCTAAGTTCACCCATGTCATCTAATTTTTCAGTTACTACTATATTTATTTTTGCCTCTCATTTCTTTTCATTTATCATGCTAGAGCTTTATCAGTTTTATTATTTTTTCAATGAATTAACCTTTGCTTTTTGAATTTTTCTATTGTAGATTTGTTTTCTGTTTCAGTAATTGCTGCTCTTAATATTTTCTTCCTTCTACTCTCTTTGGTTTTCTTTTTCTTTCTTTTTAAAGATTTTATTTATTAGAGCGAGCAGCAGCGGGGGTAAGGGCAGAAGGGGAAGCTGACTCTACTCTCTTAGGTTTTAAGTTGCTATTCTTTTTGTAACTTTTGGAAATAGATACTTAGAGCATTGATGTCTAGCCCTTCTTTTAAAATGTGTATTTAAGGCTATACGTTTTCCTCTAAGCAGCTTTAGCTACAGCTGAGAAGTTTTGATATGTCATATTTTCACTGTTATTTTGCTCAAAATACAGTGTGATTTCAAATTTCCACTGTGTTTTCTTTCTTCTTTTTCTTTCTTTTTTTTTTTTTTTTTTGATCTATTACTTTAGAAGTTTGTTGTTCAATTTCCAAATACTTGGAGGGTTTTCTGGGTATATTTCTGTTACTGAATTGCAGTGTAATTCCATAACAGTCACTGTGTGATTTCAGTCCTTTGAAATTTGCTGTGAATTGTTGTATAAATATCAATTAGGTTAAAATCATTAACCTTGTTTAAATCTTTCACATCCTTCCTTTGTTATTTTCTCCCCTTGATCTGTCATTTCCTTAGAGAGGATTTGTTTATTTCTTTTAGTTTTCACTGATGACAGATATAAAGTTATTATATCTTCCTGGTGATTAACTCTTTTATCATAATAGAATGATCCTTGTTGTCTCTAAGTAATGCTTTTTGAGTTAAATTTTTCTTAATTTGATATTAATAGAATGATTCTAGCTCTTTTTATTAGTATTTGCATTAAATATTTTATTTCATCCTTACAGTTTTAGCTTTCTTTAATCTTATGGTATGTTTACTGTTAAGTAGAATATAGGTTTTTCTTTTTTTTTTTTTTTTAAGTAAACTCTACCTCCAGCATAGGGATTGAACTCATGACCCCAAGATCAAGAGTCACATTCTCTACCGTCTGAGCCAGCCAGGTCCCCCAGTTTTTGTTTTTTATTCTAGTCTGATAATCTCATCTTTTAATTGGAGTCAGTTGATATGTAATGGAATTATTTATTACTATTTGTTTTCTATTTGTCTTGCCCATTCTGTATTACGTGTCTCTCAATTCCTGGTAATGGAGTATTTTAAATTATTCTCTTCCTCATTTATTAATTTCTTAGTTTTACTTTTTGTTGTTTTCCCTGGAGATTGCCACATGTATTCTTGGTAAATTTGTATTTTGCCACTTCTGATTTACCTGACTTCTACCTTTTTTGGGTCATTGCTTTTATGTCTTTAGTTGTACATATATTTAAAACCTCAAAAACTACTGTCCCTATTCCTTCACATTCACAGACTTTACATTCACAGACTTCCCTTTGATAATATTTTCATTTTGACTTAAAAATTCCTTTTACTGTTTCATCAGGTCTGCTGATGATAAAATGTCTGCTTTTATTTGTCTGAAAATATATTTATTTTGAGGTCTTAAAATTTTTTAAAAAATTGAGTTCTCTGCATACCTGACTCAGTGGATTTTTACATTTGCATGTACTTGTGTAACCATTATGCAGACCAAGATAGGTACCCATTGCCTTCTCTGTGTGAATAAGCATCTCCATATTAACCATCTATGCTGACTTTACCACTGTTGATTTATTTTGCCTGTTTTTGAATTTTATCTTAATGGAATTATATAAAAAAAATACTCTTCTTTCTGGCTTATTTAGCTCAACATTATGCTTGTATGAGTCATTTTTGTATTAGTTCACAGTATTCCTTTGTATAAATATACCGCAAGTTATTTATTCATACTAATGTTGGTGGGTATTCAAGTTGTTTATAGTTTTTGGCCACATTAATAATGTTGTTATGAACATTCTTGTACATGTCTTTTGGGAGACAGGCACTCATTTGTGTTTGATATAAACGTAGGAGGAATTGCTGGGTCATCGGGTAGGCCTTTTCAGCTTTGGTAGATAGTGCCAGATAATTTCCCAAGTGGTTACCAGTTTGCCAATTTTTACCAATATACCCACCAACAATGAAGTTCCCAGTTGCTTCACAACTCACTAACACTTGATTATTTTTTTTTTAACTTTAGCCTTTTTTTTTTTTTTGGTGGGTGAGTAATATTGAATTATGATTTCACTTTACGTTTTCTGATAACTCTAACTTAAGCCCATTTTTATATCACTGTACATAACTTAGATTTTTTTAAAAAAGATTTTATTTATTTATTTGACACACGGAGAGAGAGATCACAAGTAGGCAGGCAAGCAGAAGGAGAGGGAGAAGCAGGCTCCCTGCTGAGCACAGAGCCCAATGCGCAGGGCTCGATTCCAGGATGCTGGGATCATGACCTGAGCCAAAGACAGATGCTTAACTGACTGAGCCACCCAGGAACCCCGTGATTTTTTTTTTCTTGAAGGGCATATTCTCAGGTTGGGGGGTTGGGAGTGGGTGGGGAATTGAGAGTGGGTTGTCTGACTTTTTGGTACATTCTGGATACAGGTCCTTTGCTGGAGATAGTGTGTGTGTGTAATAAATAAAATATTTCTACCTTTCTGTGGCTTTTATTGAAAAGAATTTCTTAGATTTAGTGAAGTCCAGTTAATTAAACTTTTCTTTATAATGAGTCCTTTTTGTGTTCCTTTAAACCAAGTTTTTTTTTTTAACCCCAAGGTCATGAAAATATTTTCCTATGTTATATTCTATAATCTTTAAGCATATCATTATGCTTTATATTTTAGTCTATGATCCATCTGATACTGATTATTTTGTGTTTCTTGAGGTATAGGTCAAGGCTCATTTTCTTATTTGTGGGTTTTATACATTTATTTATGAGTGATGTTTGTGGATAAGCTTTTTATAGAATTCTGTTTTCTAATTTTGTTACTAGAATAGAAATACAATTGATTTTTTTATATTGATATTGTATTTAAGGATCTTGATATATTCACTTAGTCTAGATTACATGTAAGTTTTTTGAATTTTTCATAACCTTATTTTCAAATAATGACAGCTTTTTTTTTTCCTTTCCAAACTTTATGTCTTTTATTTCTTTCTCTTGTATTATGCAATGGAGAGGATCTTCCATAAAATGTTGAATTCAAGTGGTGAAAATAGAATTTTGTCTGGTTTGTGATTTCAGGAGGAAGTATTCAATATTTTACTAATGAGTTTGAAGTTTGCTGTAGCTTTTTTGTTTGTATTGTTACTCTTTTTTAGGTTAAGGTAGTTTTCCTTCTAGTCCTAGTCTGTTGAGAGTTTTTGCCTTGCATAGGAGTTAACTTTTATTGAAAGCTTTTTCTATATATGTTTTGTTGATATGATTTAACTTCTATATTTGGTTACTGTGGGGATTATATTGGTTAGTTTTTAAAGGTACCAATACTACATTAGTGTATAAATCCAGTTGTTCCTGTGTATTTTAATATATATAGTTTGGTTTGATTTGCTTATATTTTGTTCAGCAGCTTTTTGTTTACATGCAGGAGAAAGATTGGCCTTTAATTTACGTATCCTATTAATTTTTTTATATTCTGGAATGATATGCTTAGCTCATAAGACAATTTGGGAAGTGTTCTTGGTTTCTCAGTGTTTTGAAAGTTTGTATAAGTCTAGTATTTCTTTGAAAACTAGTTAAGTCATCTAGGAGTGTGAGTTTTTTTGTTTTTTGTTTTGGTTGTCTATCTCTTTTGAGGTAAA